ATTATATGTATACCCCCTATTTCGTCTAAGGTGATGAACGACTGGTAGTTGAATTTTCCCACAATGATGTTTCCAGTGAATTTCACATAGTCTTACTTTCCCAAAAGCGTTTTCATCCTGGGTGGACAGCAGTCTTGTCAACACTCTCAGCAAGACTCGAACCATGTCAGAGCAACATGTATTCTCGTTCTATTTCGTTTAAGGTTATAAGGAGAGTGTAGTAGTTGAATTTTTTCAAAATGATATGTTAGACCTTATGTTTCTATTGAATTTCACAGAGCATCCTGAAGAAGCAAGGCGATGCGAAATTCAGTGGAAATGTAAGGTATATTCATATTATTGTGGAAAAGTTCAATTACCAATCCCTTTAGCACCTTTAAACGAAATAAAGGTGAATAGACGTCATTAATATGATCCACTGGTAGTCTCAAAAGGCTACTTAAAAACCTCCACAGAATGTGATATGTGAAAATACCCGGCCTTTCTTTAAATTTACATCTGCTCTGTGCTCCATGACCACTCTTGGTGGGGGGCGTAGTGGTTAACGTATCTAGTCTATAAGCTGCCCTGTCACGGTTCGAGCCTTGCTGGGGGTTCTGATGAGACCTAGGTGAGGTAGAAACTGCAGTCCTTATTTAGCCTTCATGAGAATACGTTTTTGGAAAAAAAGACTGTGTGAAATTCAATGGAAACTTCAGCCTTATTCATAGCATTGTGGGAAAATTCAACCAGCAGTCTCTTTATCGGCCTAAACGAAGTAGGATGAATACACATTATATATATGAATGACTAATTATAAACGAAAAATACGAATAAGTTTTGTATGATGCTAAAATAACTGGTAATAGTTCTACCCGGGATGAATTAACGTGTACGCATGATGATGCAATGCATCCTCGAATGCCCAGGTCTTATCATGGCTTTTCTAGCAAGGGCTGAACCAATAACCTGTTGGACTCATTAGAGTATAAAATGCTGCCAATCGGTACAAAAGTAGCTCAATCAAAGTGCCACCATTGTCATTAAGGTCAACTTTATCGTGAGATTCAAGGAGGCAAATTTACATTTCTTATAAAACTTGGGTTGCCGCCATTTAGAAAGCATAGCTTAGGGAATTTAAAGACAACTCAAATTTCTTCGTCAATCCAATGCCAAAGGAGCGCTTTGCGTTTCTGTTGCACAGAGTGACAGACCGCCGCACCTGTCACTCAATTGATTACGCTGATGGCATGATTATAATCTCCTAATGTTGTGAATACTTTTATTTCGTATGAAACTGCATGATGAAGAGTTTCGAAAGTCAATCTCACCAGAAGACAATGGCCGATTTATGTTGTACTGCAGCCATTTGGCTTTAATACGACGTTCAGGTTGACGCAGTCTCCGATGCATCCCTCCTCGTTTTGGGTATAAATTGGCTGAGCTTTCGTTTATCATATGATTAACATCATCAAAGCTAGAGCTAATATTTGACTTAGCGTTAAATCGAGGCTTTTACAAATATGAGCCACACCCTTGCTGACGTAACGAGGGAGGATGCCTCGTGGACTGCGTCAACCTGAACGTCGTACTAAAGTCAAACGGTTGCAATACAACAGGAATCACCTGGCATCTTCTGGTAAAGTTGACCTATGAATCTCTTCATAATACATTTTCATACAAAAGGAAAGTCTTTATAGCTATTTTATTTATCTCAGAAGATTGGTCGAAGCCCATATTTCCATTCTTATTGGTTTCTCTACATCACATAAGGCTTGCGGAGCCAGCAAGGTTAAATTTTAGAAGACGATTTGGCACTCGGACAACAAAGTAATGTTATTTCGTGGACTACCCAATCCGGCTCTGGCATCAGTTGACGCATGCCCATCAAAGCCTGACTGGGTTGCATTCGAGGTCGAGCCGCCCGTGGCTAGCCGCCATAAACGGCTCAGCACTCCCCCGGACTCTCCATGTTCTCCAACAAGGTTCTGAGTACCAACCCCACCACTGGCACAGGCACTGCGAGTCGGCAGGAGGTTGTCGGTCTCTTCGCCGGTCTCTGAAGGTGAGGAGCCGATCTCACGGTTGGTTGAAGTGACAGTGGTACGGTTTCGGCAAAATGCCGCTCGTCCGATTGGCGGATCGCCCAGCAACACCGGCGCCCCAGCAACCTGTGGCGCCGTTGCACCGTTGTTCAAACGCGCCGCGTGACCATTGGTTGGCAGATGACTTGGAAGGACTGCAACTGATGAGATATGCGGTGACGGCAGAGAGACTGAAGGGGCGTCATGGATCATTGGAGTTGCCATTAGCAATGGCTTCGGCGACAGTGGTACTATCGACAAGAAGGGCATCTGGGCGGAAAGCACGGGTGTCTGGACGAGGCAGTCATCGGCACTCGAGTGCAGTCTCTGTCGGTCAGTCAGCGACTGGGCATGCCAGTTGAGATGGCCGTCGACAAGACCGAAGTTAAACGGGCTGCCGTCTGGTTGACCGCGAACCGTGAACATTGGCTGAAGTTCATGAGAGCCCATTGTACTTGAGGAGAAATTGGTGTTGTTCGCCTCCATGCTGCTACGATCTTCAATGGCAAACTCGTCGCCCTAAAAGAAAACAAGGCAACAGAATGGATAAATCTTGTGAGTAACAACGACATGTCAGGTTGGATAAGCTGATAGGTGCACACCTCGAGGTGAGCTCGAGGCTATTTCCGAAAGCCCTCTCCTCAAAAGGAAAACTTGCTTTAATAAGATATCCATTCCTCCTCGATTGCATAATGTGATGATGGACAGATAATTGAATTTTCCCACAATCATATGAGTGGGCCCTACGTTTGCATTGCATTTTAGGGTGTGACAGGTCTCCCCCTTATCAGATATAAATAATAAGATAGTCGATGACGCCAACTTGTTTTTTGTCATTACACTCGACTACATTACTTGGATTCGTTTAAAGC